CCACCCAGGCACCCCCCAAGCACTCTTCCCCCAGCCTCCCCTCACAGTTCACATTTTACACTACTATACTAAAACATCAAAATCAAGAAATCAGAATTGGTAAAGATCTTGTTCAGATTTTACCAGCTATACTAGCACTTGTGTGTGTGTGTGTGTGCGCGCACGTGTGCGCGTGACAAGACCCTCATCTGTACCATCACCATAAGATTCCCTTGTTACCCCTTTACTGATACACCCATCTTCTTCCCCTCCCCAACCCTAACCTGTAGCAACCACTAATCTGTTCTCCATCTCTAGAATTCTATTAATTCACAAATGCTACATAAATGGAACCATGCAGTTCATAAATTTTTTGCAATCGGCATCAGCCTTGAGGTTCATCCAAGTTGGATCAATAATCCTTGATCCTTTTGATTTCTGAGTAGTATTCCATGGTATGGATATACCACAACATATTTGACCATTCACCCACTGAATGACACTTGAGTTGTTTCCCGTTTCTGGCTGTATGAATAAAGCTGCTATGAACACTGTGTACAAATTCTGCATGAAAATAAGTTCATTTCTCTGGGATAAATGCCAAAGGTGTAATTCCTGGATTGTGTGGTAAGCCTATTTTAAGTTTTGAAAAGAACTGCCAAACTACTTTCCAGAGTGGCTGTACCATTTACACTCCCAACAGCAATATGTATGAGTCATACAGTTGCTCTAATATTAAATCTATCATGCATTTTTGACATAAATTCCACTGTTAATAAACATTCTATCCTCCTGAACATTATAAAAACTTTGTTTTAGCTACAGTCTCTTCCCTCCTATGTTCTTGGTGGTCTATTATTAGTTCCACCTTGCTTTTATATCCCCAAACGAGTCGTTGTTATGATTCCTTCATACAATCAATACTTGCTTATTTGTTCACGTTCATCTACTTCTTTGCTCATCACTGTTCTTTTAAAAAACATAGCTTTATGGAGATATAATTCACGTACTATTATGTTCACCCTTTTAAAGTGTACAATTCAACACTCTTTTAGAACATTCAGAGTTCTGCAACTATCACCACTGTCTTGATTTCAGAACATTTTCCTCACCCCCAAAACAACTTCCTCACCCATGAGCAGTCACTGCCCATTCTCTCGTCCCCTCAGTCCCTGGCAACCACCAATTTACTTTCTGTCTGTACGGATTTGCCTGCTGTGGACCTTGTATATACATGGACTCATACAATATGTGACTTCTTGTGTCTGTTTTCTTTCACGTAGCATGTTGCTTTCAAGGCTTACTATGCTGTAGCATGCATCAGCATGTATCAGGTATGTAGAATGTATCATTCCTTTGTACGGCTAGGAAATATTCCATTGTAAGAATATACCACATTTTACTTATGTATTCATCAGGTGGTGGGCATTTCGGTTGTTTCTACTTTTTGGATATCACATTCTCATATCTTAGTTTTTCTTTTGGGTTCAATGTCCTTCCTGAATAAAACTTTAGTAGCTCTTTCTTGAGAGAGAGAGAGAGAGAGAGAGAGAGAGAGAGAGAGAGAGATGGAGAGAGAGAGTGCATGCTGGAGGGCCAGAGAGAGAATCTTAAGCAGTCCCCATGCCCAGCACAGATCCCAACACGAGACTCCATCTATAACTGTGAGATAGATCATGACCTGAGTCAAAATCAAGAGTTAGACACTTAACCAACTGAGCCACCCAGGAGCCCCAATTAGCTCTTTCAGTCAAAGCTTTGAATTCCAGTTCTCTCTTGTTCTGCAAAAATCTTTATGTCATCTTTCCCTTTGAGTACAGGAATACAGGCTGACAGTTACTTCATTCAGTGCTCTGGTAATATCATTCCGTTGTCTCCCGGCCCTTGCTATTGAGGAGTAGGTTGTCAACCTAATTGCCGCTCCTTTGCAGGTAGTCTGGTATTTTTCTCAGGATGCTTTTAAGATTGTCTTTGTCATTGGTTTTCAGCAGCTTCACTACCATTTTTCAGCATGTGAATTACTTTCTGCTTAGAACTCATGCTTCCTCAATTTGAGGACTCCTGTCTTTCACCAATTGAGTTAAGTTCTTAACACTCCTCTCTTTGAATGTCATCCCCCTTTTGTTCTATTCCCTCCACATGGAAACTCCTGTTACCAGCATGTGAGACTCTTAAATTCTATCCTCCTTGTTTCCTAAAATATCATGTTTTCCAACTCTTTATGTCTGTAAACTGAATTCTGGATAATTTCCTCAGATCTGACTTCCCTCCTCTGATTTGAGTAGTCTTTATACACTTCTATGTCTACATATACTAGGCTGTACTGTGATGATTTTGTACAAGCTCATTTCCTCTCTAGACTCTAAGTTCCTTGAGGGCAGAGCTGTGACTTACTTATCAACTCATTTCTGTAACCCTAATGACTAGTATAGGAACTGGCACAAAGAAGTTGCTTATTAAATGCTGTTTGAACTGATTATAAACTGTCTAGAAAGAGTACATTTTGGCCTTTGGTCCTAGAAAGATCTCAAAGGGAATATTTTGTAATCAACTGGAGTTTGAATACACCATGCTCTCAGTTTTTGTGAGAACACAAGCTTGCCCGGGAACTCAGATTTCAACAATTAAGAGTTTCTACCAGTGTACAATAAAAAGCTGCTTGCTGACTTTAAAAATCTAGTGAATGCATATTATGCAAAGAATAAGAAATATGTAGGTATAAAGCAGGTGTCAGAAACAGAAACAGAAAACTGGCATATCTTATTCTTCATTTTTCGGAAACTTTACCTAATTATTTAAGGTTAATTGCATACTCATTAAGTTCACTTCACACATAATTATAAATAATAGTAATGCAGTAAATCCTCATTAATGTCCCTAATCGAAAGGAGGGAAACTTCAAATCTGCAGTGTTTTTAAAATAAGATGATTTAATTACCTTCAAGAACATACAGTAACTTGAAGTAACCAAAATTAAATGCTGTTTGCAATTAGAGGCTCTGGTAAATGTGCTTTAATGGCTATAAAATCCTCATCTTCAGGGCGCCTGGGTGGCTCAGTCGGTTAAGTGTCCGACTTCAGCTCAGGTCATGATCTCACGGTTCGTGAGTTCCAGTCCTGCATCAGGCTCTGTGCTGACAGCTCAGAGCCTGGAGCCTGCTTCGGATTCTGTGTCTCCCTCTCTCTCTGCCCTTCCCCTGCTTGCTCTCTCTCAAAATGAAGAAAAAATGTTAAAAAATTAAAAAAAAAATCCTCATCTGCAAACAGGAGTATCATTTGCATATAGTGAGCAGGCCCTTATAAACTTGCCATTTAAATTGCAGGTGTCTAGTTTACATCATTACTTTATTCAGAGTGTTATGTTTTGTAGCATTTTAGAATTACTGGAAGTTGACATCTCCTCTCCTTCCCCGGCCCCCTTTCTCCCCTCACTGATTTGGAGACTGGTCAGGAAAGAGAACAGAGGGCCCGAGAAGGAAAGTGTCTTGTGCAAAGTCACACAGCTAGAAGCAGGCAAACTTTGGCAGCAAGGCACCCAGCTCATGTCTGAATCACTATTTCTGACTGCAATAGGTAACCTTCTGGCTAGTCAGTGTCAATTTACTACACTTTTAAAATCAGAGTCTGCTTCTTTCTCTCAGTGCAAGTAAAATAAAGCAAAGATAATAGTCAAAGGGAGAGGTTGCTCCGCCCCTTAATAATGCAGTTAGAAGCACGGGCTGGACACACAGAAACATGCCCTCAATTCGTTCAGTGCTGACTCTTGTCACCACCGTAGCTTAATTCCTGACTTTTCCAGGATGTCTTGGTAAACAGATGGTGGGAGCCACAGCTAGGAATTTATCTGGAATGAGATTCAAAATACCAGCACTGAGAAGGATCAGTGATGTTTTTGTGTTATCTGGAAGAACTATCTTCTATCCTACCTTTTGTGCCAGAAGGTTCTTCAGATATTTTGCATAAAGTTGTTGACCTCTAATCCATGGGTGGGGGTGGTTTGGCCAGATGGAGGTGGGATATAACGGGGGTGTATGGACTTGGTAACAGTCTTTCTCAGTTCCGGCTTTGAACTCAAACATATTCCTGGCTTTGCCTTCAAACATAAATTTAGAATCAGAACCCAGTGGAGCTAGTGCGTGGTTCAAAAGAACCACAGATTCAGGGCTAGTTTTGAACACTGCAATAGTCATATTCACCTTGCAGCTGGAGTAAGGCTGTCTCTCCCGTTCCAGGCAGTAAAATATGCCTGAACACGCAAATGACAGATTCAGTTTCTAGTACTGGAAATGCCACAGGTTGAGTGATTTAGGTCAACTAATCCCTGTAGGAATGACCGTTAAGAGCCCAAATTGACAAAGGGATGACACGTCTGAGAAATGGGTGTTCAGTTCACCGTGTCTCATGGGAAACTCTCAGGAATGAGCTGGGGCCGTTCTGCATTTGCACGTTGTAAACAGGTAGACAACTACCTCATCTCTAGAACAGTTAGAAAGGGACAGGAGGATGCCCACATTCTTCGCAATACTTTGTAATACTTAAGTATTAGGCATCAAGACTCATAATGTGTACAACTTACTTCCAAATGGCATATCATAACATAAAGTACAAAACATACACACAGAGAAGAAATGTTTCACAATGCTAACAACTGGTGAATCTCCAGGTGAAGGACATGTGGTGTTTATTATCCACTCTTCTTAATTTTCTAGAAGTTGGAAAATTTTCAAACTAAGAAGTTTAAAAAAATCACTGCTTTACAGACTCAATGAAATTAAAGGGAATGTGGATTCATTTAAAAAGAGTTAAAAGAAGACATGTTAGCAAGAATAGCAAGAAACACAAAGCAAGCTGGCTGAACCAAGGAAAGATATTATGGAGAAAAATAAAACCATCACTTAACTTAAAACCACGTGTAGACACTGCCTGGGAAAAACGCACAATGTAGAGGGAAAGGACATGCCATGCAAGTGATTGGAGAGAAGCTGCTAGATATGGGAGACAGACAGCTTGAGGAAGCTCACCTGTGGTGCTATTCATTCAGTCATGCGTCTGTTTGGTATTTATTTAACAACTGCTGAACATTAGGTTCTATGTCAGGAAATGAGGATGCAAAGTACCCTCGAGGAGCTCAGAAGAAGTAGAAAGAGCACCAATTACAAACAGACTACCACCTGTGAAATCTGTACTAGAGATAGATGCTATGGAAACAGAAGGGACAGAGAGTGCAAATCTGCCTAGTTTGGAGATTATTTTAGCCACAGAAGTGGCTGCTATGACAAATTACCACAAACCTGGTAGTGGCTTAAAACAAGAGAAATTCATTCTCTTACAGTTTTGGAGGCCAGAAGCCCAGAGTCTATTTCACTGGGCTGAAACCAAGATGGCAGAGCTACATTCGCTCTGAAGGCTCTAGAGGAAAAATTCCTATCTTGCCTTTCCCAGTTTCTGATGGCTGCTGACATATCATTGCTTTATGGTTCTATCACTCCAACCTCTGTGGCCACCTCATCTCTTTTTTTTTTGTATGAAATCTCCCTATGCCTCCCTCTTACACAAAGATGGCATTAGGGTCCATCTAGATAATCCAGGACAGTCTCCCTATCTCTAAATCTTTAACTTAATTATGTGTGCAGTAAACAGGGTGCTTGAAGGGCCCTGCAGCAGAAGATGCCAGCAGAGTTGGACGGGAGAGGCAGGCAGGAGACGCTGTGTGCCATGAATCTGTAGGTGGTGTTATGCATGGCACAAAAGACTCTAAACTAGAGGATAGGTCCAGATTTTCCTTTTTTTTAAGTTTATTTATTTTGAGAGAGAGAGGGAGAGCCAGAGCACAAGTGGGAGAGGGGCAGAGAGCGAGGGAGACACAGAACCCAAAGCAGGCTCCAGGCTCTGAGCTGTCAGCACAGAGCCTGACGTGGGGCTCGAACTCACACACCGTGAGATCATGACCTAGGCTGAAGTCGGACGCTTAACTGACTGAGCCACCCAGGCATCCCCAGATTTTACTTTTAAGAAGACTCATCTTGGGGCACCTGGGTGGCTCAGTCGGGTTAAGCGTCTGACTTCAGCTCATGTCATGATCTCACGGTGCATGGGTTCGAGCCCCATGTCAGGCTCTGTGAGGACAGCTCAGAGCCTGGAGACTGCTTTGAATTCTGTGTGTGTGTCTCTCTCTGTCCCTCCTCCTCTCACACTCTCTGTCTCTCTCTCAGAACAAATACATAAACATTAAAAAAAAAAAAAAAAAGCAGAAGACTTATTCTGGCTGCAGTGTGGAGGATGGCCTGGCACAGAGCAAGACCAGAGAACAGGAAGGCCATTCAGGAGACTATTTCAGGAGTTCACAGAAAAAGCAGGGGCAATGGGGCAATGGGAGAGTTAATCACAATAGGGCCAGGAAGAAACAATCTTCATATTCATAGTGGTAAACGCTGGAGACAACCTGAAATATGTAATGCTTTTTGGATTACTGAATGGGTTAGACTGTTCTTACCACTAATTTCCTTTGCCCTTGTAGATAATTGAGTTGTCTGCAATACTCCAAACTGAGTTAAAACTATAATCCCATATGTGAAAAAAAAAAAAGAGAGAAAGAAAAATGTTCAGGCATGAACAGATTTTTAATTTGTTACCTTGGTTATTGTATGCTATAAGGTTATTACCTTTCTATCCTGAAAAAGTCTCATGATATTGGATCCAAACCTGGTGATTTAAAGCCAAACGAATAGATGGGCATTACATAACACAGTATATTGTTGCTCTCCTACAAGCAGTTCCATGCCAATTTGTAATCAATCTTAAACCTAGGCAGAAAAAGCCCAACATATTGCCTTCTCATACAATTAAGAACGATTACATTTTGTCTTTTCCTTGGGAACACATTTACTTACATAATTGTACATTCATTATTTTTAAAAACCAAACTCCATTAAGGATAAGCCTTCCTAAGCTTACCAAGAAGCCATCATGTTTTTTTGCCTTAGAGAAATTTAAGCTACAGTAGAAAAAATTTACGGGAAAAGTAATATATTTAGTAATATGTCCTTTGGGTGCTTTTAACACTTTCTTAAAAGGAGAGCAACAATAGTCAAGAGAGGTGAGATACGAATTCGGGAAGTCTTAAACTTGGTTCCATTATAAAACAAATCAACCTCCTATAAGGTTGGGACGGGAATCTTTGAAACAAAGTCAGACATGCTGAACACAAAGAATGCTACTGTTTCCATCCAGACAGATATAAGGTCCCATAACTTTCACATTTTGCAAGGACACATTCATAATAGTAATTTTAAAACTCTGTAATCCCTTGTCTTCAAAGCAGCAAGACTGCAGTCTGCCTTTTGCGGGGCCAGCCTAGGGTGTGGAAGAGGCTTTCCACACTAAAGCTGGGGACCTGAGAGCTCTCATAGTTATAACTCCTTCCTGCACACCTGTCTGAGTTTCTGGGGTCCCTGTCCTTCTGAAGAGCAAAAGGCCTCTGGCTTGCCTCAAACTCTGTGTTTGGTCAGCTCCATCCGCTTGGAGACTGAACTCTGTCGTCTAGTCAGGCATCAGCCACCAGGGGAATTTCTGCCTCAATATGAGGGAGAAATAACAACATTGCCATTCTCTGACAGACTTCTGCCAGAGACTTCTGTGGCCCTTACCACCCACCACACCAGATCTTCCTGACAGAAGGCAGGAATCAAGTTCAAATTTTCTACACCTCTTAGGCACCGTGACTTGCACGTTTCATCACCTCTAAAGGGCCACTCCTCACAGCCAAGATAATTTCCCCTATCCCCAAGCTCCTCATTCCGGGCCAATGATAGTGACTATGATTTGGGTCTGCAAATGTAGTTCCAAAGATTAATAAAACATTCTACATGTAACTCACAATTCTTCTCTACTTTATGGCTGTGGCAGCTGCTTATAATATGAGGTCTGTTTGTACCTTGCTCACAAAGAACCACTCAACTTCTCCACTGCTGTGACTCAGAGAGCCATATCTAAAGGTATATGATAGTATTTCCTCTTCTGTTTGGCTCTTTTATTTACAAATACATACCTGTACTATGTTAGTCTGGAAACTTAATGTAAACAGTCCATCAGATAGTATAAGCAAGGGGTAGCTTCACACCAGCCTTCAAATGTTGTTTATCAAGTAATTATAAAACAGTCTCGGGGCGCCTGGGTGGCGCAGTCGGTTAAGCGTCCGACTTCAGCCAGGTCACAATCTCGCGGTCCGTGAGTTCGAGCCCCGCATCAGGCTCTGGGCTGATGGCTCGGAGCCTGGAGCCTGTTTCCGATTCTGTGTCTCCCTCTCTCTCTGCCCCTCCCCTGTTCATGCTCTGTCTCTCTCTGTCCCAAAAATAAATAAAAACGTTGAAAAAAAAATTAAAAAAAAAAAAACAGTCTCTCCCTCTCCCTGACCCTCTCCCTCTTTCTCTCTCATAAACACACACACACACACACATACATACATACACACACACATATATATGATACATCATATATATGTCTACATTTTGAGGACATGGTCCATGTTTTCTGATTTCTTTGACATCACTGTCCAACACTGCTTTGTTAAGAAGGGCTCTCTGCATGTGATTTTTATTGAGTGGAATACTGACTGCATTTTAGGCTCTCATTTGTTGATTAGCTGATCAAGCTCAATATGGGCTGTGACAACAGGGAACACAAAGTTATGTCCCTAACAGCCCTGGAACAATCAGACATCTATAAGTCCAGAGACTGAAGAAGAAATAAAAAAAAACCAGAATTCACAGGATTAACACCAAACTCGAATGAGATATTAGAAATGCTAACCTGGCTTCTAGGATTGCACACAGTATTGCATTCATATACCATACCTTTTTTCACCTAAATCCACTAAACTTTTAGGAGTTTCCAACTTACTGAAGAGGTGATTGCTGATGGTAAAGAAATTTCTAAGCAGGTAGAGTCAAGATAGAGACTAAGCAAGGTATACTACCTTTGCCAAATGATTCCCCTTGACTTTTCCATCAATAGGAAAGAGAGGGGGCCTTTGTAGATTTTTTTTTGAGGGTGTGTGAGGGGTGAAGTAAGTCACCACTTAGAGACCTTATGCTAATAAAAATATTTTAGAAATTCATCTTATAATCTAAGCTTCTAAGGAGATTATACTAGTCAGGTCTCACCCACAAAGACAAGCAGGCTAAATAGGAGGCAACTTTTTGGGGGCTGCTCATGTGAGACAGGATACAGAAAAGGAAGGTCCTAGATGAGTTGCAAAGGTTGTTAGCTTGAGAGTTGCCCAAGAAGACCATAATCCGCAGGAGGACGGACACTGTTGTTAGGGCCATATAGTAACTCCTTTTCTTGGTTATAGGATCCCTCTTGCAGCCAGCCCTTCCCACATTCTTCGGGGACACCAAGCCCAGTAACTCTAGCTTTGGTGACTGGCATGGGAAAGGCCATGGACCTAACCTCATCCAGTCAGACTAAAGCCCATTTATTTTCATCAGTTGAGAAAGTCAAGCTTCCCCTCCTGGAAGTGGAAGGGAGAATGTGGGCTAGTGGGGCAAATCTTCTAAAAGTGGAACCAACAAACTCCAGGAACAAAAGTTGAACAAAAGGAACAAAGGAACAAAAGTTGAAGAGTACAGTGAGCTACTGAGCCTTCACCATGTTTTTAGAGCCTCTGGGTCAAGGCTTAGGTGGACCCAGAGTTCTTCTGGACTTCATGTTAAGCTGATCAATTTTCCTTTACTTAAGCAGTTAATGTCAGGTTTTCTGTGACTTGCAAACTAAGGTCTCTTAATTACAAAACATTCTTGGTAGGGAAGCTAAGCTAAGCTAGAAGACAGAACTAAAGGCCAGTGGTCCAAGTTACTCCAAGAAGAAACCAGTTGGAGGGGTACACAGAAGGAGAGGTGGGTGATTTAGGAAACCAGTGTGAGACTGCAGGCAAGCAGCAGGACTCTCATTGTAGGAATGACCTGTCAAGGCCAGGGTCTCTGAAGGGGTCAGGCCAGGACAAACACAATCCTTGGTGAGGTGCGGCGCTCAGGACGAAGCATATGTTAGCTTGTATTTATATAATGGAATAGTCTGTACCTCCTGACATGTGCCAAAGATGACAGGAGGCCGTGCCAAGAATGACCAAGGGCCAGGCAAGTGACAAGAGAAGGTACAGGCAGGGAACTATGTGAGGGGACGTGGACTATTACCTTCCAGCTTCCAGGCAGTCAGGACATTCTGTGAAGCAGGAAAGACTGGGCAATGAGCTTTACTTCATGGAAAAGGTAGGTTTCTCTGGAACACAGCAGGAGATGAATTATCAAGAGGTGCAAACGGAATAGAGTAATGTTGGGTCTTTGGGAGAAAACAAATAAACAAGCACACCCAAGCTAAAATAAATGGCACGGAAGTCTCAACATTAACAGTCCCTCCCAGGTTGGGAGTGCTGGTCCTTCTGCTTAAACTACGATCGGTGTCTGGTATTGTGACCACATTGCTGCCACCAAACACGTCTGTCACTGTTCCCAGTGCTACACAGCCATCTCCCCGGCCCAGGAGTCTGGAAAGTGGCCGAAGCCATAGGAAGAATCCTTGCCTTAGTGCTTCAAAATACCAAGCGTTCCAGTTAGGAAATTACTGCAATTAGGAAGTGTTCTGGAATGTGAATACGTTTCGAGAGTGAAGGGGCAGCAAACACCAGAGGGAATGAGGAAGGCACTGGATAGAGAAGTCAGTGGTTTTAGATTAAAGAAAGAAAAGTTACCTCAAACACCTAGTATGATTTCTCTTATTTCTTTCCATTTACAAGGAACTAAGTCCAACAATTACTAATTATTAGAAATATATATTTCATGGCATTTCCTATAATATAGGTTGACTGCAATACGACTAGTAATAATAGCCAGTATTTGAGTACTTTCTCTGTGCCTGGCACTTTGCTAACTTCTGGACATTCACTAGCTTTTCTTTTTAAAAAAAAATTTTTTTTAGTGTTTATTTTTGAGACAGAGAGAGACAGAGCATGAGCAGGGGAGGGGCAGAGAGCGAAGGAGACACAGAATCCGAAGCAGGCTGCAGGCTCTGAGCTGTCAGCACAGAGCCTGACATGGGGCTCGAACTCACGAACTGTGAGATCATGACCTGAACCGAAGTCAGGTGCTTAACTGACTGACCCACTCAGGCGCCCCCATACATTATCATTTCTTATTCCTCTGTCAACCATAGAAAGTATGTGGCATACTGTTATTACCATTCCAACAGAGAAAGCCAAGATGTGGAGAAATTAGGAAACTTGCCAACACCTCTGGTGAAAAGACTGAGCTTTTAAAACTGCACTATACAAAACCAAAAAGGATAGTTTAGGGGAATATCATCCCTTCCATGGTAAGCTCTCAAATGCCAACTTGAACAATCATCAACATCTTAAAAAGAAACTGTCTAAATAATTCTCAGTTGTTTGTTTAAGCAAAGTGACAATGGCATACCACTTCCCACTGGGTGTATATGGTATACCATTGTCTACCTGGGTAAAAAGCATGTAAGTTGAACAGCTGTAGCAATGCTAATATTATTTTTTAAACTTAAAAAATTGTAGGATACAGACAACCGCAGAGAGAATGACAGGGATGAATAAATTACTTAAATGAATTATTATAAGGTAAACACTCTTATAACACCATCCAGATCAAAACACAGAAATTGGGCACACACCCAGAGCC